AAATCCATAGTAAGGTCAAACTCATCTTCACAATTCTTATGTTTGCAATTCGTTGGTGTTTTTCTTTTCTGCAGTATCGTCATTGTACTCTGAAAACTGTTTAACTCAAATAGGTCTTTGTAGGCCCAAAATTAACATAACATTCATGTTCATGAACAACAGACGCTCCAGTTTTCATCAGTCGTCTGAACAAGTTAAATCTTTGAAAACAGACTCATCAAATGTTTCTGCAACCAAATCAACCTACAATGGGGGCTCAAGATCAAGCTAAGACACCTGCACATGTGTAGACGTGAAAGGAAATAACAGGTCACAGCAGCGCTGAACGGCGGCAACGTCGTCCACCGTTTTGGAGAACTTTCACCGGTTGAAAGTCAGTCGGTTGTGTCAAGCAGCCTGAAAAAGCTTGAAAACTCAAAAGAGCTCGCACAAAAGAAACAGTGACAGTATCTCAAATGTGACATAACTGGGTGGAGAGCAGCGAGATGCGGAAAGAGACCGAGAAGGAGAAGTGGTACAGGAAGTGACTGAGGTCTCGGTTAAGTTAAGAAACGGTGATGCTTGCTCAGATGCTCCGACTCTTCCAGCAGCTGTAGCGGCGCAGCAGACATTTTCTGCTCCGTCTTCTTCTCTGAGTTGCTCTGCGTTAGATGGACAATCTGGAGGGGGGCCTCGGATCCAGTCTGCTGAGGAAGCTTTCCTCCAGGTAGGCCATGCACATTGACAAGTTTTTGATTTCTCTGTCAAACATGCACTGGAAGTTGAATCACACCCAAGGTAGCTTAAAAAAAAAAGGCAACTTTTTTGATTAGTTGCCCTTCAACAATGGCCTCAGTCTCCGTCATTAACTCCTAACCTACGCCAGTCGGTTTGACTGGGGTTTTTTTTTTTCTGCTGGAAGCCACTTGAGTTCTAATAACAGTGGCCAAAATAAATGGCCAAAAAAAAAAAAGCCAATTTGGAAAGATGTTTCAAATTCATTTCTCAGCATGGGTTGCAGACGTAGCAACTGAAAACAATTCCCATTTAAAAGGATTTAAAGATTTTGTTTACGGAATTGTTTTCCTCCACAAATTTACTCTGGTACACATTGTCCAAACAACAGTACATGCAGAACCACTTTAGTCATTATTATTGTGTGGGAGGAAAGATGTTTCGCCAGAACAGTGTGCTCATTTTGTTTCACATCAATCAAACTGTTTTATATGCTTAAATGTGTGCTGGTAACTATGTAAAACCTGGTATAAAAAGTAATAGTAAAATCGAGAGAAAAAAAAACCTAAACAAACTAAACTAAAAATACCAAAAACAAATCAAAGAGGCCGAAGGATAAAATCAAACGGCAAAAAGCGACAGAAGCACACTTAAAATTTCAAACGGACATGTCTGCAGATGGAGCCGGGCGGACCCCAGGTTGAATCAAGTGTGAAGATAATTACACAACTAAGTAGCAGAGTAATATGGTTAAATTAAAAAAATTACAACCCACGTAGGTTGGAGTTAATTTGACCGACTTGCAAGCAGGGTTTCGCTTTTGTAGGCTGTTTCAAAAAGTTAACATCTGGTGCAGTTTTACCGGCGTACTCGTTCTTTCTACCAGATTGTTGTTGTTGTTTTGGATGTAGGTTACAGTCTGCTGATTCGTCTCGTTTTCTTCTTCTCCTCGTAGGAAGTCTCACCAGCGCAACAACAGCCCTCAGCCTCCAGGGGACAACGAGCAGGGGTATGAAAATGTCTGGACTGTCCTTTCACAACATGTCCGCTCTTCCGGACGTTTCGTCACCGTAGACGGCCCGGTTGTCGCCGAACCCCGCAGCTCTCAGCCATTTTGTTTGCTTAATGTTATTAGCTTCAGGGTCCGACATCAAAAACAACACACTGCGCATATTTGTAGACATATTTGTAGGGGAAAAGTATAACTGGTACAGCACTTGACAGGGTAAAAAGCCAGAAAGGAAGTGATTGAAGCAGGCAGGAAGTGATCGAACCACGCAGGAAGTGATCGAACTAGAGGTCGTAAACAGGAGAAACCTCTTGCCTTCCTGTTCGGCGGCCTCTCGTTCACAGCAACAGGCAGCCTTAGACAAAACAACCCCCATCTGCTGCGAATTGAGCTTTTCCCCTGATTTATAAAATGTCTGTTTGTTTTCAGATTGCGAGAAGAGCCGACCACACTTAGTGCGATTCATCGTTCACCGCTCCCCCCGACTTTGCTTTTTTTTTTTTTTTTATCTCGTCCCAATTTGCTTCTATTTAAGTCACGACGGATAATTGCTCAGATATTTGCTCTGTACTAGATATGGGAATCCTTTCAGGGATCCATGAATCAATCTGTTCACTAATTCATTTGATTCAGACTGATTTAATGGTTCTGGGTTGTAGCGTGCGGTGGTTCTATTTACTTCCATTTCAAGAGATGGGAAATGTATTAAAAAAGAAAAAAAAAGTCGAAGAGCACTTACCAAACTATGGCAACATACATAAATAACATTAATTTCATACAGGATAAGGAAAAAAGAAACCAGTGTCACCATAATGCTTTATATTTGCGAGCAGGGATTCCACAAAAAAACGTAACCGCAGTGAATGGAAGCAGCTGAAAGTCAAATTTCTCTTGCAGTTTTTAACCACACTATCATAATTTGACTAAAACATAATTTCAAAGTCACAGCACTCAAACATATTTTAGTCCATCTCTAGTTAATTTCTTTCGAAACACAGTAGATTTCAAAAAGTCATCTTAAGCTTGGTTAAGGGATGAAAAAGAAGATGTCAGTTTCGTAATGTGCAATCTGTTGCTCATTTGGTTTTGACACAGGAAAAAATAAGTCACTCCTGTGGCTAATTATCTTGAATTAGCATGTAGGAGCAACACTTGAAGAGACTGGTTAGCAATTTAACTTAACCCTATAATTGTCTTGACAACACTGGTGTCCTCAATGGACCCGTCGGCTTTACATGTGAAGGGTTATCGACGAGATCTGAAAAGGGCAGCATATGTTTTATTCTGACGTTGAAGCCTTTCGATGTGAAACACAAAAACATACCATAGAAAACTGTATGATTGCAAACAAGACGTGCGGTGGCTTTGATGGCGTGTTTACTCAGTCCTCTCAGGCCAGCTGTTGTCACCGTTGCACGAACCTGGTAGTGTGTCTTCCGTCTCTGGTTCCGCTCGGCCCGGCAGCCGAGATTCCAGATCGTTTCATAATCCCCGGGGCAAAAAAAACAAAACAAACAAAAAGAAAATAAGGGTTTGGAACAGATACTGTTTTTTGATGTGTGAGTAAAAAGAGCCGCCGCCTTCGCCCAATTACTTTCACAAATTTCATCCACACTTCCTGCATGTTAGGATCCGTGGGAAAAGCATTTGACTATATATGAAAGTTATTTTAAAATTTATGTTTTTCTTTATTACATGAATCCTCCATATGTAGTAACGGCCATGTTGTTTATGTATAAGACAATGGGTTTTTTTAGAAAATTTCTCATCTTGATGTTTTAAGTTGATTTTCTTTCTTTTTTTTGTTTTGCTTTTGCATACATTAGACAAAATGTAAAAAAAAAAAAAAGAAAACTAGTAGAGAAATAGATAAACAATATTTCTATTTCTGTCAATATGAAGAAGACAAAGTGTGGACCAAAACTAAAATTAATAAAAGTGTAGATGGAAGCACAAGCTTATTATGCCATCACTTTTTATTCATAAAGCATAACTGAAAACAAAGCAGAAGAATATTTTCTGTATATTTTCTAAAACATATCATGGAAATTCAGCTGAGTCAGAAAATCAAAAAACAAACTTATAAAAAAAACCCAATAAAACTCTTAAAATATTTGTTTAGCAAATGATTCCTAGACTTTAAAAAAAGAAAAAAAAAAACTAAGTGAAAATTTCAGTTTTAACTCCTCTCAGTAATTATTCCACATCTCACTGAAATACAATTTGATATTTCTAAATTTTCTTTTTAATAATAATAATAATCCTTCTCTCTTCTTTGAAAAACAACATGAAGCCTGATTAGGATTTGTGTAATGAAATGTGCTGCATTTATCATTAACAATGGCACCAAACACATCCAGTAATAACCAAAACATATATTGTTGAACCACTTTTGCTGAGTATGAACAAGATAAATGTAGAGCTAGCATTGAGGGTTATGAGGTAAAACGTTGCCCAACCGCTAACAAGCTGCTTTTCCACTCCAAAACAAACAGTTTCCATTAAAACAGACTAAGGCAGAAATATAATTTATTAGACTTACTTTCAACCAATCCCCTGTAAGAGTAAAAAAAAGCTATGAGTTGCAGCTGTGGAGGAGCTAACATGTTCCTTGGTTGAGTCATAATTGAGTCATTTTACATATAATCACCTTCCTAACATAATGGGCTAAGTCTTTTTTTGCCAAAAGTGATTTTGGCTGGAAAAAAAAAAAAAACTTCTGGCAAAAAGTATTTGACAAAGTTGGTGACAGAATAGACCCTTCCCTCATTGGGTAAATAAAAGTGTAATGATTTACCAGAGGAGGTATTCGTTTGGGTGCTGAACTGTTGAAAGCACTGAAACTCCATCCTGATTTCTTTTTTCTGCATTTAAGTGACTGATTGACAGGAACTCAATTTTGATTCATTGGCAATATCTTTTTTATGTACTTGTACAATGATCTGGTTTTGCAGCAGGTGCTATTTCTTCTCTTTCTTTTGCTTTGTTTTGTCTTTTCACCCCGCCATACAAAAAGAGGAAGTACCGTTCACCATTGCAGTCTCTTATTCCTCATTTTCATATCGCACTATGTATGGACAGCAAATCAGATGAGGGAGTTTTACTAGTCCCACTGAGGAGAAGTAGCGTCCATTAATCAAATGTGTAAGAATAGAAAAGCCAGAGTTTGGCTTTTAGCGATCAAGTGAGAGTTGAGGAAGTGGCATTTTGGGGGAGGGAGGGGGTAAGAACTGTGAGACAAAGGTCAAGATTGAAACATTCAATTTCCAAAATACCCAAAAGCTGTTTTTATTTTGTTCCTTTTACCTCTGGTATTCTAAATTTGAAGGTTTTTGCATATCTAAAAGATTGGGCTGTATGTTCACCCCTGCAGGGCGAGTGGCGATGACAGCAGCGCCAGCAGGCTCAGCCGCAGACTGTCCCGTCTGGGCAGCAGGCATCAGTCCAGGGAACCTCCAAGACCTCCGGTTCAGCCGGAAAGGCCTCCTCCTCCACCTGCCCAGCAAGGTTTGTGCTCTCCGCCGCGTCCAGCCACCGCATGGTCCAACTAATGTGCACCTTTAGAGAAAAACAAAACCGAGACATTTTCGACTAAGCCTTCATCACTGAGCAGCGATATTACAGCTTTCTCTTGACCCGAGGTGTGTTTGTGGTTACAGATGAGAGGATTCCACCACCAGCCCTCGTCCTGCCTTCAGCTCCGCCTCCAGCACTGGCTCCTTTCCCGCTTCCAACAGATCGGCCGCCCAAGCGGCCTGACAAATCCACCAAACCCAAGCTCCCACCTCGGCCGCTCTCCAAGGTGTTCAGTAGCTACGAACACGGATCGAATGTGTTGCAGGTATGTTCTTCCAACTGCACGAGTCGTCCAACCGCAGCTTTGGGTTGAAGTCACTGCATTGTACGCTGTCATTACTACAATAAAAGAAACTGATTTTCTAGCCAATAATATTGGTTATTTTATGTAAAACATGTCGTTATGAATTTATTGTTTCCTCCAAAGGGCTTCGATACTTTCCGAGGAGATGAGACTCTGTGTGACGTCGTCCTGGTTCCTGGAGACAGCACCGAAGCGTTCCCAGTTCACAGAGTCATCATGGCTTCCTGCAGTGATTATTTTAAGGCAATGTTCACAGGTTTGTTTGACCTTCTATGATATTTGGTGACAGGCAGTTTGAGAAGATTAAGCCCTTTATGTAGGAAGACGTTTGACTTATCGCTCCATTGTGTTTGTTTAATTTGAAGATAATGACTTAAAAACTAATACAGCACACAAAGTCAATTACCTATGCTACTCTGGTGATGAAGATGGTTAAAAAAGGACGATAATAATGTAGTTGTGAGTTGCCAAACATCCAGCTGTCCATCAGTTGTCTTCTTCCACTTACCTGGCCTGGTAGAAACCAGCTCCTTGTTCTACGCTTCGCTTTCTACTGAGAGTCTGGACGCTCCACTAACGAGAAACGACTGCTTGCTGTAGGCGTAGACTCTGTGAAAGTTTTAAATGACTGGATTGACGTTTGCCCCAGACGTATATAATGCACCACTTTGACAACCGTCCTCCACTGCGAGGAGAGAAGCGGTGAGCCGAACAAGATGGCTGGTAATGTTAAGTCAATATTTGGTTGTGAGGGTAACAAGTCCAGGAGGGACACCCTGACATCCCTCCCTAGTAAATTCTGGGTCTCCTTCCATTTTAAAGTGACTGGAAAACCTCCAAAAGTTTCCCAGACCTGGACAAAGCAGTCCATCATTTTCTAGTGTAGAACCTCTGCATTGGACTTGGAGCCAACATCCATCCTATTAACTTTACATTTGTGTGCAATCTTCTGCAGTTTAGACTGAAAAAAATAGCCTCAAAAAATGCTAAATTAAACACCTTGAGACTCTGTCATCACATCTTTAACAGGACCTTTAAAAAGGTTCTTCTACTGCACAGTTCTCAGTAAAAAATAGCTAGAAACTTTTTTGATTACAGAAGCTAAGTTGATAGCTCAATGTCATTGTTCTGCTAAATCAGATAAGACTCTCGTTGAAACGGCACAGAAATGATCTGTCACGACTTATACTTTCATTTCTGATTACCACGAAAAAGGAAACTCTGCTGACCTTTTTCACTCGCCCTCCTTTACATCGCGGCTTCTAACAAACCCTGTGCTGTAATCCTCGTCAGGCGCGGTTTTCTCATCTCGCTGGTTTTGCCCTGCGTCTTCCTGCCAGCTCAAGACAAATCTCCCTAAGCGATGCAAATTCATGCGTTCACCTTGTGTCTGTCCCTCTGTGCTTCGTTCGCTCTGTTCAGGAGGCATGAGGGAGCAGGAGATGAGAGAGATCAAGCTGCATGGGGTCACCAAGGCGGGCTTAAAGAACATCATAGAGTTCATTTACACATCCAAAGTCATCCTCGACATGGGAAACCTCCAGGACACGCTGGAGGCTGCAAACTTCTTGCAGGTCATGCCTGTTCTGAGCTTCTGCAACGAGCTTCTGAGCAGCGAGGTGAGAAGCGTCTTGACTTTTTTTGTTACATGTTGAACAGTGCTGGTTTGCAATCCAGGCCTCTTCCTCAAAGGCCTCTCAGGTCCTCCAAAGCAACACAACAATAGATGCTTTTCCATTACAAATTTACACAAATCTTTGTCAATATTCTGCTAAAAAAAAACCCAAAACCAAATACATTTATGTTGATACGTCTGAAAAACCACCTAATCCTAGAGGGAAAAAAATATATCATAAAACTTTCAAAATGGGCATGTTCCCATTAAGACAATTTATTTTCAGAATTCAAATTTGGGCAATTTTATGGCTAATGGAAAAACAGCGACAGTTTAGATAAAGCCAAACTAATTTGGTTGATGTTTCCATGTATCTCTTGGTGCAGATTACAATCGATAACTGTGTGGAAGTGGAGCGGATTGCCACAGATCTGCTCCTTGAGGATGTTCTGGTGAATATTGGTAAGTTAAGACACGCGACCCTTGTAGCACTTAACATTTGTGCAGTGAAAAACAAGAAAGCCCGCCATGCAATGTTTTGTTTCCAGCTTATGATTGATCTTATCAAACCTAGGGAAGTTTGTGGGGCAGAACCTGACCGCGCTGGTGGACTCCGGCCGCTACCTGCAGCTCTCCGAGACCAGCATCGCCAACGCTCTGGCCAGCAACTCGCTGGGCGGTTTCTCAGAGCTGGAGCTTTACCACATCGCCAAAGGGTGGCTGGAGCACGACCCTCCCTCGCGTCACTCCTCCGTCTACGCCCTGATGCGCCACATTCGCTTCCCGCTAATGAGCCCTGGTGAACTCATTCAGATCTCTCAGGACGAGGAGGAGGAGGGTGACTCCATGATGCGCTCTGACACCGCCTGCGTGAACCTGCTGCTGGAGGCCAGCAACTACCAGATGATGCCTTACATGCAGCCGGCGCTGCAAACCGAGAGGACGCAGATTCGATCGGACGCCACGCACATCCTGGCCCTGGGCGGCGTGATGCGGCAGCAGCTGGTGGTGAGCCGGGAGCTGAGGCTCTACGACGAGAACACCGGCCATTGGAGGGCTCTGAAGCCCATGGAGGTGCCGCGTTATCAACACGGCGTGGCTCTTCTGGGAGGCTTTCTCTTTATTGTTGGAGGTGAGGGCATCAAGCTTAATGCTCCTTAAGTTGAAGTCATAGTCGGTATTACACTTGAAAGTAAGGGCATTGAGGCCAAGCTAAGCTAATTGTTGAGGTATTCGGTTCAAATAAATGAACCGAAACTTTAAAGGTTCCCAGAAGCTTCATCTGAAGTCCAACAGTTGAAGCGCAGTCATGTGGTTTTGGTATTCACACACAACTTTCATACAACGGCGCAGACCATCTGGGGGACACACCACTCCCTCTTCAGTGTACATCACACCTCCACCTTCAGGGTTAGGGTACCTAGTTCAGCTTTTACCAAACAGTCATGGAGCTAGCGCCACACTTTTCTGTAGTCAGCCTCCTACGTAAACAACAACGTTACAATTTCAATACAGGAGTTACTACCAATTTACCAGTCTTGCTATTATAGTTATTTAGTGAAAAATTGTATCAATGTACATAATTCCTAGCCTGGTAAAAACCAACCCTTTGTTCTACGTTTGGCTTCGTCCAGAAGGCCTGCGCGCTCGGCTGTTGATAAATAATTGCTTGTAGAAAGTGTGGACTCTGTTAAAGTTTGAAACTTTACCCAATCGCTAACGGTTGGTTACCCAACGTTGACCCAATTACCTCATTCGGCAGCTGAAGAGAAATGTCAACATTAGTGTCTGAGTGCATTTCTGTATAAAACACAGCAACAAACTTCAGACCAATCACTCAACGCTTTGCACAGAGTTCTGTCAACATAGTTGCATTCAGGCCTGGTGTCGAGGTCAGCAGGCAGATGCCTCTCTGCAAACAAAATAATGCAGTTTTTGTCACGCAGCAATGAGAACCGATTTGTACTTTCAAAGTACATTTGAGCCTCTATGCTAAGTTTTGAAGCTTAACACCAATTTTCATTGAATTCTTAGGTCAGAGCACATACGACACAAAGGGTAAGACTGCCATAGACAGCGCCTATCGCTATGACCCGCGCTTCGACAAATGGCTTCAGATTGCCTGTCTCAACGAGAAAAGGACCTTTTTCCACCTCAGCGCTCTGAAGGGGAAGCTGTTTGCCGTTGGAGGAAGGAACGCCTCGGGGGAAATTGGTAGGCCCCTAGGCTCAAAATTGTGAGAAATTTCTCGGACGGAGCATCTGGTTGTTAGCGTTCAACATCTCCTCTCTTGTCCTTTTGACCAGACACCGTGGAGTGCTACAACCTGAAGAAAAACGAGTGGACCTTTGTGACCAACATGATGGAGCCTCATTATGGGCATGCTGGGACCGTTCACGGGGGCCTCATGTACATCTCAGGTGAGAGAGCAATGCACAAAGACAGACAGGGGTATCTTTACAGTACTTAAAAGTATGTGCACAGCTTTATTTGTTTGCCTTTTTGCCTTCTGAAGGATTTCCAACAGGTTTGCAGGAAGTAGTTCACCTGCAGTAAACTGGAGGATCCAGACTTGGCAGTAGAGCATAAAATTCCCTCCAAAAGTATTGGAACAAGGCGAATTCTCTAGTTTATGATGTGCACCAAAGACATTTGGGTTTCAGCTTTTATTTCTTGGTATTTACGTGTAGACGTGCTAAGCAACTCAGTAGATGGCGCCTTTTGTTTGAACCCAACCATTTTTCAAGTGATCAAAACTGTGACTGGCAGGTGTTTCTTGTTAAGCAGGTGTTGCCTTTGAGGTCGACTGTTCAAAACATTAAACAGCCTTCTTGTTAAAGTGGGTTAACCAACATGAAGACTGGAGAGCTCTTCATAGGGGAAAAACAAGCCAATTAGAAGCTGAGAAAAGTAGGAAAACCAATCAGAGCCATTGGACAAACATTAGGCATAGCAACGATTTGTAATCTATGAGAATTTCTCTCTATCTTTTGCCTGACTGGGAAAAACTTTAACTTTTCCTGGCAGTTAAAAAAAATATATACATTAAGTATAATTATGGACTTTCACCCACATATGAGGACAATAATTTAGTAGCAGCTTATGGCAACTGAACATTTGTGTTGCTAACTGCTAACAGCGATTGACATAATGTTCCACTGAATCCACTTGTGATTTCATATGTCCAAAAATGCATGATGCATGATGTTAGCCTTTTTGTGATCTCCTATTTTTACCGTCCATCGTTACTTGCTTCGCTATTAGGCCAGCAGATTCTGGGCAGGCTATTTTTGCATCTGACAATTACATCAACGTTTTAGTCACTTCTCCCTGGTTCTCCAAACCGAGATGACTCAAAGCAAGCTTGAGGAATATCTCCCTGCTTTCCTTGGATTTGTGTAAACGAGTGTAGATGTTTGATTTTATGAACGCTAACAGTTGAGCAGCAAGAGGCAATTAGCATTTCTCACCTGCTTTTGTAAGGATACCTCCTGAACGGTTTTGAAATAATAAGAGAGCTTCAGAGCCAAACGCAGCTCCTAACAGCGCTCTAGCTCACGGTTAATGCTGCCTGTTAAAGTAAGCGACTGAAAGCAGAGCAAAGTCACATTACTGAACCCACAAAATAACACTTCCTTCTATAAATGATCTCTGTGAAAAAATGACTCATCCTGAATGGGGAGAGAGAAAGCCACATAAGTCGTGTTTTATCTGTTCTTGAAGCGTTTCCAAAAGGTCAACTTCTTTTTATTTTTTTTTATAGCTCCACCTCAACAAGATGCATTTGAGTTTTGTTTTTTAAAACGTATTCCCAACAATGAGAAGACAGCTGATCAAAGCGCTTAATTACAATTCTCTGCACTGATATAATTTCCCAAAAACTCTCCATCCCACGGTTTGTTGGAGTTATGGGAAACTAGCTCGGGTGGTCAAAACAAACCAACAAGGACTTTTTATCAGCAGGAGATTTGCTTGATGCAAAATTGACGAGCAAATTAGCTTGTACAGCCATCTAACCGCATTCCCTCACCGGGTCTTTTTCACAGCTGTTAAACCACACAATGCATCTACTTTCTGTCTAACTGCTGTTCACACGGTTGACTGCTGCAAGAAAGCAAAGCGTGTTTGTTTTTTGGTTTGTTCACAAATTAATTTCAGTCTTTTGGCACTGCAGCCGCTTTAAAAAAATCACTCTCTGGTGTCGAATATCTGACGCTGCCACATGAGCAGAGCTATGTGGCATTCGAGAGACTTCGAGAAGAAAAACCAAGCACGAGCTTTTGTAGCTACTGGTGAGCTTTGCAACTTAGAGCTTCGAGGAAACACTACACAAGTATTAAACCTTCCTGTATTTGGTATTTTCTGATAAGTAAAGTGAAAGTGTTTTTTTTTTTTTGTCAGGTTTTGTTAGCTTGTAGGCAGCACTCTCTTAGCTGACCTACTTGAAAGCCTTTTCCTGTTTTAGCGGCGCTCTCATAGGCCGCTCTCAACCTGAACTGGGTTTCTTAGCAACCCTTGGACAGGAAAACCACTTCTCGCAATGAGAGCGCAGTGCAACCTATAAGTTTCACATGTAGGCCTGATAACCAGGAAGCCCAAAGGCCTGTGGTTAGAGTGGGCCTCCGAAACTCAGCACCTATTTCACTTCTCTCATTTCTGTAGACCTACACGTAAAGCAAACACTGTGGAAACTGTACCAGGCAAGTTCTGAACGGGGGTATTATTATTTCCTTTTTTTCACCATTATTTTTTGGATTGAAGTTAAAAGAAATTATTAAAATTTTTATCACCTTCTGTCATGGTACAACCACAAACATCAGTGTATTTTTTGGGGGAGATTTAAAGGGGACCTATTATGCAAAATTAACTTTTTGCATCTTTTTATACTTCCATTTAGGTCTCAGCTGCTATTGTAGCAATAATTTATTTATTTTTTGGTGTCTAGAAAATGAGTGGTTTCAAAAACCTCATGATTGTTAAGTCACGATTAAAGGGGGACTGCGCCATTACCTAGCAACCCCAACCGAGTCAATACATCTCCTAGCAACCCCACCCGGTTTTACTGCTGTACGCACTGAACAAAAGCTGCTGGAGAAGACAAGTAATTTTTTTTTTTATATTGCTGCATTTTTGTTGGTTGTGCAGAAGGCTCCACTTCTGCTTTTCAAAGACAAATGGTTGTTTAATTGAGCATCTGTTTGCAGCCATTTTCATGTACAATTGTTAACTTTGAGTTGGCTGGCAGTGGGCGTGGCTTATAAAGTGACAAGAGGCCCTAAAACGCTGCAACTCTTTTGGCTCTGAGTCTACAAACTAGAAAAACATTTGGATCCTTAATTATTTTGACCTAATATGTTTTGCAGAATAGCTCATCTAGTATGGTTTCTTCCTGCACTTATTTATATACTTTCTTTCCATCTTCACATAAACTCTGATAAGACTGCTAAAGAAAAGCATCCCCACAGCATGAGGCTTCCACCACCGTGTGTCAGAGAGGCTGCGGTGTCTTCGACAGTGTTAGTTTTCATCTGTGCAACATTTTTCATTTTGGCCTGAAAATTCAATGTTGGTCTCTTAAACTAGAACACCCTCTTCCACAGGTTCTCCGTTTCCCTTTCATGGTTTGTGGCAAAGTGGCCTTCTTTTGTCTTTCTGTCAACAATGGCTTTTCTTCAAACGGATTATGTCACCGTAACTGCGAGGCTATTGCACCTGCCTGCAGCAAGCACACTTATTTTGACTGGCTTATCACAGTGTCAACATATAAGAAGCTTTCAAAAAGCTCCTTATACACTTCAGACGTACTAAAACTGCACTGATACTGAAAATAGAAAGAACATAACTTTTGTACTAGTGAGCTTTTCTGCTGCTTTGCTGAAAACAACTTATTTTCGAGTCCCTGGGTGACCAGTCAGCGATTAAGACGGCAGAAATCTCCTGACTAGCTGTTAGCTGGAGTCTCTGATCTAAATTTGAGATCGTGTTTGAGTAATGTGACGGTAATGGAATAATAATAGTAAAGCAAGAACACATTCTCTAAAGTCAATAAACGTTAAATTCTGATGAACATTTAAAAACTGGGACTGGGAGACATTTAAACTGTCCAGAATAAATAAACCAAGCAACAGAAACGACAATAGGAATGAATTATTGGAGTCTCTGTTAACAAAAGAAGGATAGCAGAGATCAAAGCACCAGAACAAAGAGCAATATTTGGTAGAAAGAGAGAAAATGGAGAACAGTGATGAACTATTAAATAAATAACTCATTTCTAGCACCATCTGCTGTAAGCAAACCTGACATTAAAGAAATCTGAGCTTTTCTTTGAAGAAAAGAAACTAAATCCAATACAACAGAACATAGAAATTAAACGTCAATATGATTTTTTTTTTTGCTCATATTACTAAAATAAAATAAGAAATGGGGCAAATTATTTGTTTATCTCGGATCTAATTGCTAATCTGTTCCTTGTCATTTCGTAGTGCATGAGAGAGTGCAGCAATCTGAGGAAATGCAGCTCGGTCGCTGCGCCTTCTCAGGCCAAACAGAAGCGATACGGCGGCTCGCTATCTGTTGTCTGGAAAGCACCAAATGATTAGCGCAAGCTGTAACCCCGCACAAATATTTTCATCCTCATTACAAACACGTATTTTGGCACGATGTCAAAACTGTAACAATGGCATCTACTCTTCAGGGAACTATTGGCCCATTTGATGCTGAAGGCTGATTTCAGCTCCTGCATAATCTTGTTTTTTTTTTTGTTGCTGTTTCGTAAGCAAATATTGTGGATGTAAAGTTTTCATCATCTGACACAGTAAATACATCGTCACTGTCTGAGCCGTCCCTGAACCTGCTGCACTCTTAATCCAAACTAACTGGAGCTGCACCATCCACTGCTTTCACTTCCGATATAGATATCTGAGGTTTAGTATACAGAAAAACATGCTAAGTTGACTTAAAATGTTATTTAGAAGAAGAAAACGGGCATTAATTTACTGAATTACAAATTTATTTGATGACTCTGGACCAGTACAGCACATTTAAATACACCAATAGCTTCAAAAGCCTGATCAAATATGTAAAAACTTTAATTTGTTCAGTCAGTGCAATTAGTAACCAAAGTAAAATAAATAATAGACTCTGTTAAACACAACAGGCTGACTACTTTGGTCAAAAAAAATAAACAAACCGTCTTCGAAATGGTTCAGAAATTAAAATGAAGTATTCTGAATATAATTTAAAATAAGGAATAAAGCATGAAGCCGCTCAGAGCACAAAGCGTAGAATTAGACTGATTAGATCTGCCCTTATGGATGGGGCACATAAACCCGAGCTGGAGGTGGTTTCAATATCGGGATCGATACAGATATTAATATCAGATCGGTGCATCTCTAGCTGCGAGAGGTTGAGTGGCTAAAGTCTTTCCTCTGCCTACGTTTCCCAGAATGCTGCACGGTTCTGGTTCACAGATCAGTGAAATGACTAAACATCAGACATATTATCTATTGATATTGATCATGTGTTTATCGCAATAACTGTTGTTATTGATTTATTGCCCAGTCCTAGTCTTACTTAAAATATTTTATGCTACAGTAAAAATAAATCCAGCACCTCACTTGACCGTTTCCAAGGTTTCCCCCTGAAAACTTGTTAACCCCTGGAGTTTGGTGGCAGGAAGGTCGTTCATCCAGCAGCTTGTCGTGTTTTTGAGATAAAAATGTTTAAAGTTGACAGGAAATTTTAAAGTATCATTTGATAATCATGTGTTGTTGAAAGATTAATACCTGAACACCAACCATAAAGTCTTAATATGCAAATATTTTTAAAAGACTTAAAAAAAATAAGCAATTCTTAGCCTGGTGGGACACAAGTAAAGCCTGGTGGCCCACCAGGCTTACAATACACTGGGGGAAACCCTGATTTCTTAGTTTCCAACATGCCACTGGAAAAATCCATATTTTAATTTTGAGTATTTAGAACATTTGATGAGCTTTTGGCTACTTTTGCTGTGGTCACATGAATCTAATTCTCTTCGGTCTCGCAGGTGGCATCACCCGTGACACCTTCCAGAAGGAGCTGTGGTGCTACGACCCGGTCGCCGACTCGTGGAGCCGCCGGGCCGACATGATGGAGCTCCGCGGCCTGCACTGCATGTGCACGGTGGGGGACCGGCTCTACGTGATGGGTGGCAACCACTTCCGGGGCAGCAGCGACTACGACGACGTGCTGGGCTGCGAGTACTACAGCCCGGAAACAGACCAGTGGACGGTGGTGGCACCGATGCCCCGCGGCCAGAGCGACGTCGGTGTCACGGTCTTCAACGGCCAGATCTACGTGGTCGGGGGTTACTCCTGGAACAGCAGGTGCATGGTGGACATCGTCCAGCGCTACGACCCGGAGCAGGACGTGTGGGACCGAGTGTTCAATGTGCTGGAGCCCCTGGGAGGGATCCGGGCCTGCACGATGACCGTCCACGTGCCGGAGGGGTCGGTGGACGAAGCCGAGATACAAGATTGCCCGTTACCCACAGCTAAGAACTGCTAGCCACCTACATCAGGCTGCTTTTGGGGGGGTTTCCAGCTTACGCCGTAGCAGTCAGAATCCAAAACAGGAAGCAGTGTGGGTTGTGACACAAAGGTTTCATGTGCAAACAAAAGCCAGCGAGTGCAGCTTGAAACACACATGTCGTATTTCAGTTTTTTTCTGTCCTTCCCACAAGCTGTTAGCCACGTAGCATCTGCTTGTATTCTGTCTGAAGACTCTGAATAAAAACATGGAGCTGCTTCGCCACACACTGAAGACCTCTGCTTCGCAGGTGAATCTTCAGTCTAACCGATTCATCTATTTCCTGGCACAAAGTCGTCAGATTAAAGATTAATAAATCGAGTGAGAGCTGTCTTTGTGGAACACGGCTCTGTTTCTCTCTCCAAGACCAGCTCGAAGGACTGCACAGATTTGCCAGACTTAAAATAGAGATGATGGTGTGTGTGCGTGTGTGTGCGTGCGTGCTGCAAAAAAAAAAAAAAAAAAAAGCCACAGAGAGGTTTGCTTGTGTGTTTTTGTGAGTGGAACGTTTGTAGCTCAGTCATGAGACATCAGTCCCTGCCATGGCTACAAAGACCACACATCGTTATCATGTCGTGGCGTTGGAACTTCCTGTCCCCTCATTAATTAGGCCTGTGTGCAAAATCCCTGCTTTCACACTTTGGACCTGTTGAACCGTCAGCTTTTGGCAAACAATGTTCAGCTAAGAATGTGAGAAAATCCCGACTTGCCGCTGCTTGATGTGAACATGAGGATAAGCGAACAAAGGCCTCAGCCGTCCTGCTGCATTAATCCCACTAGATTACGCTCAGAGAGAGAGTCTTTCTATTTACCATCAACCGCGACAAGAGTTGAACTTAACGATGTGTGACGACGAGATCGTCCTTATCTAAAACCACGCTAACACACACACACACACACACACACACACACACACACACACACACACACACACACGGACACTCCTGGCTGTCTGATGACTTAACTACCCTTGAATCTTTGTCCTTCACTTCCAGATAAGACAGCAGACAGCTGTGATTATGGCTGCTGTGCCAAGGCCTTTTAGCTGCAATGTTGAAAACCAGACTTCTACCTTGGAGCTGAAAATCCAAAAAAATAAAAAAAGGAATGGAAAAAGAAAAAGAGCTTGATTGCCATGGCAGAAAGAATGGCCAAGGCTAATTTGATGGAGAGAGAGAAAGGAAGGAAGGAAAGAGTAAAAGAAGGACAGAAAGAAAGAATGAAAGAAAGGGATGACATGAAAACAGAAAAGAAAGAAAGGAAGGAAAGTAAAAAGAAACAAGGAAAGAGGACAGAAAGAAGGGAAGAAATAAAGTCAGACATGATGAAAGAAAAAAAATGGACCTTTTCTACTTCCACTCCTTTGGAAGTAGAAAACATAAACAGCTGCATCTCAACAAACTATATGACTGAAATGAAAATGGATTAATCTCAGCGATTCATTTCAAACATATATGCACGTTAAAATGTGATCCCATGGAACTGAAAGGACTTCTTCAAACTTACAACCTTCAGCAATAAACATACTTTGCCATAAACCAATATTTATGTAATATAAATGTTTTTTTATTATTACTTTGGTGAGATATTCTAATCTTAAATGTCCAAAACAGAAATAAAGGCTTGAACACATCCGTCTGTGTATAAATGATCTATGTAATGTGTTATATTTGGCGATTTAAGCTACGGATATGAAGTTTTTAATAATTTATTGAATATGATTAAGCATGGCTTAAAGCTGAAAAGATTCAAAATTCAGTTTGTAAATTACATAAGACAAATATTTTTTTAGAAAATCAGAGATCCTGTTTTGGAGTTGGGCACGTTATCCAAATGTTTTAATGGAAAGTTAAGTGGAAGGAAGACATGGTAAAAAAAAAAACCTGAAAGGATAACCAAAGCCCTCAGAAAATTAGAAAGCACAACTCATCCAAAAAAAAAAAAACTTGGGGGAAAGGAGAAGCACAACTGTGGCAGGAGTCAGTTCTTAAAGTGCCACAAACACAAACGTATAAAGTCTGTATACAATCTAAAGTATGTTTTGTATTTTATTTGTAAGTCAGGGATCCAAAATCTGAAAAAGAAGGAAATTCCCTTTTAAGATGCTAATTTTATTTTGCTTTTTACGGTTTCCCCCAGTGTATTCTAAGCCTGGCGGGCCACGAGGCTTTACTTGTGCCCCCACCAGACTAATTATTGCTTATTTATTTAAGTCTTTTTAAAATGTTTGCATTTTTTAAGACTTCATAGTTGGTGTTCAGGTATTAATCTTCCGATCTTTTAATAACACATAATTATCAAGTGATATTTTCAAATTTCCTGTCAACTTTAAACATATTTTAACTCAAAAACATGACAGATCGCTGGACGACTGACTGCTCTAACACCCAACCACCAGGCTTAGCAAGTTTCCTGGGGGAAACCTCGGCCTTTAATCACAAATGTGTATCACGTAGCTTTTCCGTGATATTCTAATTCACTGGGACGCACCTGAGAACCACACAGGTTTGGAATCTGAGGTCGAGGTTTGACTAGCAAAGTCTCACATCCTGCAATATATTAAAAAAAAGTCCCATAAACATTCTGACGTCTTAAACGTTTCAGCTTGTCCAAAACACAGGAAGTTGTGGGAGGATTAGTCTGTAAAAAGCCCAGCGGCTGAAGTCGCGATGTTGAATTTATTGTAATTAACCGAAATGTCCAGTAAAACGGCGCATCTATGTTTGGTAATAGCTGTCGGGAAAGGTAAAACCCGCCGCCATGCTCACAGTTTCCATCACTCAGCCACTAGACCTCCGAACTATAGTTTACAGAGCAACCAAAGGGCCAGCTACAACTAATCATGTGGTATAATAAAAACACGCCTGACCACACGTCAGACAGATCTTACCTTGAGATGACAAATCTTGTTTCATTAGGCTGATATAACCTTGCGCCTCGCCTCCCACTCACACACAAACACACACACGCGCGCGCGCGCGCACACACACACACACACACACACACACACACACACCAAGAGGAAATGAATTAGTTCCCTAATATAGTTCAGTAAAGATTGAATCAACTTGTTTCCTCACCAAGGTTGCTAGTAAATTCGTCTTTATTTGGAAAGCAGAAAAAAGTTAACTATAGACTGAAAGAGGAGCGAAAGTAATCACTTTGGCTAAGAAAAGAAGCTTAAAGGGACAGTATTAGGTTTTCCAGGCACGTAGTGGCATTTTCATAGCACAATTAAGGAACTATGTTACCTTCAGGTGTTATAAAAATGCTATATATGTATATATCAAATATGACTTAAAAGAAATTTTACTTTGTAATTTAATGCCTTGAAATTCGGCCTTCTTAAAGCTCTTAAAGCTAGAGAGGATGAGGAGCTATAAAAAGCTCCACCTCTGTCTGAAACTCCGCCTTCAGGAAGTCATGACAACATGGCTCCTCTATTAACTCTTCAACAACGTTTTTACCAGTGTTGCACTGAGAAGTAGCTCATATAATGAGCTCAGGAGACAGTTCCAGCAGGTGTTTGCTAATTTCTGCTGGCTAGTCTGAAGGAGCTGAGTGGAGGAGTTGTGTGAGTTGCTTTGTAACTTGGAAGCTCGGAAATTGCAGCTCCAAGGAGGACCTTCGTCCTCGGAGTCAGAGCTAGGTCTAACCAAGCGTTTTGCACAGCTAAATGGTTGCCATGGAAATTAAAGGATTTGTTAAAAAAATGCATGGAAGACTCAAAGCAACACTCCAGATATGTTTTTGATGAAGGGAATAGCAAAACATGAAGTAAAGCTAATATATATATATATATATATATATATATATATATATATATATATATATATTTTTTTTTTTACATAATACTGCCCCTCTAAAAATACACACAGGAGTTACATTTAATACATTTTATGTAGCAAAAAAGAACATTTCCAGAGACTGAAACCTATACGTTAATAAGAGAAGAACAAAAGCACGTCTAGCTTAAAAAGTCTTATCTTTACAAAAAAAAAAAAAAGACTCAGCATGTCACAGTTAGTGAAAGAAACTGGACTGGGAGCTGTTTGTTGTTTTTACCTTAAAGTGGCCAACTCTCTGTTATTCCTATATTGAGGGGCTTCCTCACTTCCCATATCTGTGCCTTCTGTCCCTTTTTTTCAGCAGTTAAAACTGTTTAATCGTTGTTAACACGTCGTAATCAGTTATTCCGAGCCGCCTTTAAATGCAGCATGAGCGCTAAGACGCTCGCGCTGGGTTTCCACCTGTGCCGCAGCGACGGAGACCTGCTGCTGCTGGGCAGAGCTACACCTGTGTGTTAGAATCACGGCAGCAAACCAGCAAAACGCAAAGAACTTTTCAAAGAATTTCCCCCAAACTAACAAACTGTTGAGTAAAGCTGTTGGATGCAGGTAAAGTTAGCTAAAAGATGACTAGCTAACACCAACACGCACTCTTACGGCTATAGGAGGCAAAGCGGGCGACCTACCGGTGGGGTTCGATTCCTGATATTCGCTGCGTTTCTTCGCCCTCTTCCAAAGCCGCCTTCAATTAGGTAAAAACTCTGAATACTTTACAACCCCTGTATCACACTTATAGCTGCCTATTTTAATAGTTAAGACATCAATTGCAAGTTAATTTGCGTTAATACAGACAGTAGCAGCAGGCCTAGCACATTAGCAGAAGCTAACCCATGTGAACGGCAGCTAAAAGCGAGCTAAGTAGCATTGTGCCACTGATATTTCACTAACTGCATTTTATTTCAAATATTTTAGGGGGAAGACAGGAAACTTTTCAGCAAATAGATCAGAATTAAGCTCTACAAAACAAAAAAACAGGAATTGGTGAATTGCGAATATTAAAGTAGGAATACATTGAGATCCACTGTAGTGTTAATAAAGAAGAATGTATGTGTTTACACGTACGGCTTTATGTGTGTAAATACATGTATACACGTGTTTAGAATAGAAAAGACTGGTAAATGATCATCATTGTCACACAAGACAAGATATTAGCAGAATTTCAAAAATTGAGCCTGAAAAAAAAGGCAGAAATAGAAGATGGAAAAAAATCAGTTTATTTTGTTATTTCAGTTCTTCTACTTTAGTGAATTGAAAACGTCAGTAAAATTTTTGGAGTATAAAGAAGTATAAATAACATATTAATTGACTTTATTCAGGATGTTTATTCAAAACACTTTCACTTTTTTATCGCCGCCTTATTTCACAGCTCAAGATGCTTCGCGGAGCAGGTGTGTGTGTGTGTGTGTGTGTTGTACACACTCCTATATGCTGTTGGCCCATTTACCTTTTCCACAGTTTCCTCCAGGCCTTGTTTTGCTCAGCACCAGAAAACATCACATTCTACCCCTGAAGTAGCAGAGCCCATCCCCTTTTTTCCCACACTGCTTTGGAGCAAATAATACTTCTTTTTTTTTTTTTTCTAGTAACTTTTCTTACAAAAA